CATAATCTATGCGGCGCCAAGTTCTTCACCAAGCTCGACATCCGATGGGGATACAATAACGTACGGATCAAAGAGGGTGACGAGTGGAAGGCTGCGTTCCGCACGAACCGTGGACTGTACGAGCCCTTGGTCATGTTCTTTGGTCTCACGAACTCCCCGGCTACCTTCCAAAACATGATGAACGACATACTCCGAGAACTGATCAACGAGGGACACGTGGTAGTCTATCTGGACGATATACTGATCTTTACAGAGAACTTGGAAGAACATCGGCGGATCACGAAACGAGTGCTCGAATTACTCCAGAAACACAAGCTATACCTGAAGCCCGAAAAGTGCGAGTTCGAACGCACGGAAATCGAATATTTGGGTGTAATTATTGGACACAATTCGATGCGGATGGACCCAGTCAAGATCAAGGGCGTAATGGAATGGCCGGAACCAAAGAGCGTCAAACAGGTCCAAGCTTTCCTCGGATTCACAAACTTCTATCGGCGCTTTGTCCGGGGATACGCGGAGGTTGCCAAGCCATTGACACGGCTGACAGGGAAGGCAGGATGGTCATGGGGTGCAGATGAGCATGCGGCATTTGATGGATTGAAGAAGAGAATCGCGGAGGATGCGGTCCTAGCACTGCCAAATGACACTGGGCAATATCGTCTGGAAGCCGATGCTTCGGAAGGGGCAACAGGATCAGTTTTGAGCCAAAACCAAGACGGCATTTGGCGCCCAATCGCATTTATTTCGCACGCATTGACCGAAACCGAGCGAAATTACGAGATCTACGACAAGGAAATGCTTGCAATCATGCTATCATTGGACGAATGGAGACAGCTACTACTGGGAGCCACGGAGACGTTCGAGATCTTCACTGATCACCAGAATCTTGAGTACTTCCGGAAGCCGCAGAAGCTCAATCGACGGCAAGCACGATGGATCACGGAGTTGGCGGAGTTTGATTTCACCTTACGACACCGACCCGGCGCACTCAACCGCAAGGCAGATCTCCTGTCTCGACGAGCAGATCACGATCAGGGCAAGAACGACAACAAGGACGTCACGCTACTGAAGCCCGAGTTCTTCCGATCACAAGAAGTCACATTCGAGGGACAGGATCAGCAGCTAATCGATGAAATCAAGGCCATTCGATCAATTGATGGAAGCGTCAAGGCGGCCTTAGAGAAGTCACTCGTCGGATGGAAGAAGGAAGAAGGGCTTATCACGTATCATGGGAAGCTCTATGTACCAAGGGATGAGGAGTTGCGGGACAAGATCATCGGACTACACCACGACACCCCTTTGGTCGGACACGCTGGGATCAACCGAACGCAGGAGATGGTGGAAAGGAACTACTGGTGGCCAAGGATGGGAAACCAAATTCGGAAATACATCCAGACGTGCGAGGCGTGCCAGCGGACCAAGACCAGAAGAGCCAGGACAGGGAGTTTGCACCCGCATGCAGTTCCAAACGCGCCGTGGGAAATCATCTCCATGGATCAGATCGGACCCTTGCCGGTCAGTAACGGGTATGACGCAATTCATGTGTGGTGTGACACCTTCACCAAAATGATCCATGTCGAACCAATTAGTACTGACATCAGCAGCGAAGGAGTGGCACGATTAACCAGGGACCGAGTCTTCCGCTACCACGGGATCCCTCGCAAGATCATCACCGACAGGGATTCGCGTTACATCAAGGGCTTCATGAGGGAGACGAATCGGATGTTGGGCGTGGAAATGAACCCGGGGACCGCATACCACCCGATCACGGATGGGCAGACAGAACGCATGAATCAGGAGATCGAGCATTATCTCCGCATCTACGTCAATTACCATCAGACGGACTGGTCGGAGTGGCTGGGAATGGCGGAGTTCGCATACAACGACAAGATGAACACGTCTACCAAAATATCGCCATTCTATGCGAATCATGGATATCACCCGTGGAAGGGAGTGGAGCAACGGATGGAGTCAAGGAACGAGTCGGCGGAGGAATTTGTAAAAAGAATCAAAGAAATACAAGACGAAGCAAAAGCAGCACTAGAAAAAGCAAAAGAAAAAATGAAAAAATACTACGATAAACAAAGAAAAGAAGTTCCGGAGTTGAAGGTTGGGATGAAGGTGTACATAGAAGGGGAAAATATCGAGACGGATCGACCATCAAAGAAGATGAGCGACAAGAGACTAGGACCATACGAGATATTGGAGAAGGTTGGAGCGGCTGCATGGAAGCTGGATTTACCGGACACGGACCGAAGACATCCGGTGTTCAACGAGTCACTGTTGACACCCTATCACGAACCACCCCCCCATCGCCGAGAGAAGAGGCCTGTAGCCAAGATGATCGGAGGAGCAGAAGAGTGGGAAGTCGAAGAAATCGTGAAAGAGCGAAAAGTCGGCCGAGGAAAACAGTACTTGGTCAAATGGAAGGGATGGCCGCACAGCGAGAACACCTGGGAACCATCACGACACCTTACCCACGCGAAGAAGATCCTGAGAGATTGGCAGAGAAAACAATCCAACCCAGACACACGCATTCGCCTCCTGCCAACGCTCGAAGCGGGACACTGGGATTATCTCATCCATCGCTACAAACCCAAAGACGAGCGCCTTCCATATCCCCAGCGACAACTCTTTGATCCCTACGAAAACGTCTTCACGCCCATCGGCCTAGTCGATGAGGACATCGACCCTAGAGAGGGGGTAATGTCATAACTCGACTCTTTTTCATCTTATCTTGGCACGACTTATCTTATCACGGATCACGGCATCAGACGGTCCGGGCTAGGGGTTCCAGGGGTTATCTCTATCGATTCGAGGCTGCGCGACATATGCTCCGGAAGGTTCTACTACAACCCATGACCAGTGCTCCATGCGGTACATAGCCCTATGACTCATTAGTTGTAGATATGACTCAGACTGGATTTGGGTATAAATACTGTAGCTACTTGGTTGTATTCTCCAGTCTTCGAATTCACTTCTCTTTTCGACTTTGTTTTTGGGTTGATTGTCACACTCTATGTACCAAGGGATGAGGAGTTGCGGGACAAGATCATCGGACTACACCACGACACCCCTTTAGTCGGACACGCTGGGATCAACCGAACGCAGGAGATGGTGGAAAGGAACTACTGGTGGCCAAGGATGGGAAACCAAATTCGGAAATACATCCAGACGTGCGAGGCGTGCCAGCGGACCAAGACCAGAAGAGCCAGGACAGGGAGTTTGCACCCGCATGCAGTTCCAAACGCGCCGTGGGAAATCATCTCCATGGATCAGATCGGACCCTTGCCGGTCAGTAACGGGTATGACGCAATTCATGTGTGGTGTGACACCTTCAACAAAATGATCCATGTCGAACCAATTAGTACTGACATCAGCAGCGAAGGAGTGGCACGATTAACCAGGGACCGAGTCTTCCGCTACCACGGGATCCCTCGCAAGATCATCACCGACAGGGATTCGCGTTACATCAAGGGCTTCATGAGGGAGACGAATCGGATGTTGGGCGTGGAAATGAACCCGGGGACCGCATACCACCCGATCACGGATGGGCAGACAGAACGCATGAATCAGGAGATCGAGCATTATCTCCGCATCTACGTCAATTACCATCAGACGGACTGGTCGGAGTGGCTGGGAATGGCGGAGTTCGCATACAACGACAAGATGAACACGTCTACCAAAATATCGCCATTCTATGCGAATCACGGATATCACCCGTGGAAGGGAGTGGAGCAACGGATGGAGTCAAGGAACGAGTCGGCGGAGGAATTTGTAAAAAGAATCAAAGAAATACAAGACGAAGCAAAAGCAGCACTAGAAAAAGCAAAAGAAAAAATGAAAAAATACTACGATAAACAAAGAAAAGAAGTTCCGGAGTTGAAGGTTGGGATGAAGGTGTACATAGAAGGGGAAAATATCGAGACGGATCGACCATCAAAGAAGATGAGCGACAAGAGACTAGGACCATACGAGATATTGGAGAAGGTTGGAGCGGCTGCATGGAAGCTGGATTTACCGGACACGGACCGAAGACATCCGGTGTTCAACGAGTCACTGTTGACACCCTATCACGAACCACCCCCCCATCGCCGAGAGAAGAGGCCTGTAGCCAAGATGATCGGAGGAGCAGAAGAGTGGGAAGTCGAAGAAATCGTGAAAGAGCGAAAAGTCGGCCGAGGAAAACAGTACTTGGTCAAATGGAAGGGATGGCCGCACAGCGAGAACACCTGGGAACCATCACGACACCTTACCCACGCGAAGAAGATCCTGAGAGATTGGCAGAGGAAACAATCCAACCCAGACACACGCATTCGCCTCCTGCCAACTTTCGAAGCCGGACATTGGGATTATCTCATCCATCGCTACAAACCCAAAGACGAGCGCCTTCCATATCCCCAGCGACAACTCTTTGATCCCTACGAAAACGTCTTCACGCCCATCGGCCTAGTCGATGAGGACATCGACCCTAGAGAGGGGGTAATGTCATAACTCGACTCTTTTTCATCTTATCATTGGCGATCTTATCTTATCTTGGCACGACTTATCTTATCACGGATCACGGCATCAGACGGTCCGGGCTAGGGGTTCCAGGGGTTATCTCTATCGATTCGAGGCTGCGCGACATATGCTCCGGAAGGTTCTACTACAACCCATGACCAGTGCTCCATGCGGTACATAGCCCTATGACTCATTAGTTGTAGATATGACTCAGACTGGATTTGGGTATAAATACTGTAGCTACTTGGTTGTATTCTCCAGTCTTCGAATTCACTTCTCTTTTCGACTTTGTTTTTGGGTTGATTGTCACAGACTAGTGACAAGGAGCTGTGAGGCTGAGGGAATAAACTCTGAGGAGTTTATTCCTTCTACCTCCCAGCTTATATACAATTGTTTCTTACTTATCTAGAATATTCTACTGTTAACTACTAGCTACCAGCAGAACTATATAAATAATAATGATGTTTTTTATTACTTGATTGCATCAATCTCAACACACTGATTGCACCTGAGGGCTACATGTCAAAGTTGAGAGGGGTGATGGTGATGCTCACCTTTAACCTCTCGCACATTGCTTTCCAGTCTAAAAAGGAAGATCTGATTTTGGCAGACATTGTCAAGATGAGGGTCATAGCTAATCAGGCGATGGCTCCCAGCCCACTGAAACATGGAAGGCTGGCCCTCAGAGATACAGACAACGAGGCTGAAAGCCCACAGAAGAAGAGCCGGTGTGTGTGTGTATAGTACCAATCAATGAGGTAGCCGCGTTTCTCCTGCTTGCAAGCATATTGTAAAGTATATGAATTGTGTATTGTATGTGTATTGGTTGTGTCGTGGATGAGTGTGATTTGTGTATGGGGGTCTGGACTTAGAGCAAGGCACCTCTGCCGACGCAGTCGGCGCTTTCTAGTGATGAATGGGCGGCGGCTTCCGCGACACAGCCACAATCACATGCGAACCTGAGACTCCGTCACTCCGAGGTCGCTTCCTACCACTCTCCAGGACTGGTGGCGACCTCCCAGCCTTCTACTACGTAGCATTGAGGGTGTCTAACACCCTGATTTCATGTCTCGTTAACATGAGATCTGTGCAACCTTATCCCAATCGTCTGCGGCACCCCAGATGCCACCGCCATCATTACATAATAGACCCCGCGGGTACCTACTGGGTACCCATAGACGTAGCTCTATGGGTACCCAGTAGGTACCCCCCCTGCGGCGGGGGCGCAGGGGGCAGGGTCATGTGCAGGGGTCAGGAGGGGGGGATAATACATATCATGTGATTTATCCTGTAGATCAGGCAGATGGGTGGGAGAAAAAATAGAATCATGTGAGGCAACAAATGGGCAGGGGATGGTGGGATAAAAAAAATCACGTGATGAAACACATGAGATTTCAAAAATGTTGGCGGGGTTGGCGGGGGTGTTGGCGGGGTCACTACTGCCCCCTCCCGCACACCAGGGCGGACAGTGGGCGCATTATCACATGACTTTTTGGAGACTTTTTTTTTTGCACTGTTTAGCATGGTTTCTGTTGTCCTCCTAATACATTGTATGTTGTAGCCGGTTGGTAGGCAGATGATCACGTGACTTTTCACAAATAAAACCAAAAAAGCAGCTCCAAATCATCCCACTGGGATTTCAATAGCTGGGTTCAATTTTAACCATACATTTGAGCTTGAAAACCCAAAATTGTGAATCCAATCCTGGCGGTGGCTTGGGCGGGGTTGATTGCGGGGGTGCATAAACCTCTGCCCACCCCTATTGGCACCCCTGCCACAACCCTCGCCATCACCCCGCCACAACCCCTGCCATCACCCCCGCCACAACCCCCGCCGTCACCCCCGCCGCAGTGGTGCACTTGCCAAATGCGGATCAACCTCTGGATGACTTTCTAGATTTTCAGTACTGACACCCAAGCGACTTCAAGGTAACCTCTACCCAATTTTCAATGAAACAGCTTTACCTTTGTTTTATGTGTTGATCAAATGATGATCTTATCGTCTGCCAGATGGATGTCGTGATACACATCTATGACTCCATCACGTGTCATCTAGAGTCATGTCGACTCGTCCTAAATAGACACAAATAGCCCCCTGTATTGTATATAAGGAGGGCTCTATTACCCTATAATACAAGTCTCTTGACTACTCCCGCATAGTGCCCACACTAAGCTCTCAACTCACACAGGTGGGTTGCTAGATGCTCTCCCCAGTGCTCAACAGGTTATGGGCCCCGAGAGCTATGTCTGCGCCTCAATGGCCGCGACATTCATTGTATGCGCCATCACTGGCTGCAACGATGAGCAGCGTCTTTAGCCTATCTGTATTCACTTCAGCTGCTGCACAGCGCTGGTGAAACCATGCCGGATCGCGATTACATCGCTTGATCCAGATGCATCGATCTCTCAAGGAGATTATGATCTATGAGAATCTGATCATCTTGATCTTTGATTTTATCTATCAGATTAGATTGATGCTGATTAACTCACACAGATCAATATGTCGTCCAACTCCAACAACATCTTCAATGCTGTCTCCATCTTTGATGGAAAGCACTGGCTCGTATGGTCCGGAACTATGGAGTCCTATCTGGAACATCAGGGGATCTCATATGTGCTGACCGAAACGGCGCCGACCGAAGTCAAAGCTACCGATGGCTCTGTGACCAACACATCGGAGATCAAACAATGGAAGCATGATGATCTCAGAGCCAAAGGCAGCATTAAGTTGCGCCTGACTGAGGGAGTCATTGCTAACATTCCTCCTGCGGATATAGTGTCAGCTGCCAAGATCTGGGCGCATCTGAAGACCCAATACGGTGGTGCTCAGTGCGCCAACCTATATGCGTACTTCCAAACCGCGTTGAACGCCAAGTACAACGTGGGGTTGCACCCGGATCCACAGCTGCTGGTGATCACTACGGCGTTCGCTCGCCTGGAGAATGAGTCTTTGAGCATCCCTGAGTTCCTCAGAGCGATGATCATTCTCAACATAGCCCGGATTCCCTCCGTCACAGAGACTGTTCTCCAGACCTATGAAAAGGACGAGATCAAAGTCTCGGCAGTTCGTGACGCTCTCTTGACGCATTTTGCTCAGAAGCAGTCTCAAAGCCAGAATCATGTGGCCAAGTTCAATACCAAGCGCAAACGCGATGACCCTTCGTTCACCAATCAGCAACAGGGCTCTGGCTCTGCACCCGATAAGGGTGATAAGGCTGATGGAAAGAAGAAGAACCGTCGAGGCAAGCGCAGTGGGAAGAACAAGGACAACAAGGGCAAGGGCAAGGCTGATCACAGTCATGTCCATGGAGTCTCCGAGATCACTGGCTCCCTCACTATTGGTTCGATCGCCTCGCTCACTCCGTCTATCCCTGCGCCGACGATCTCGCATGTCACGCACATCTCTCGCGATGGACCCAAAATCCGCGCGGTTCAAGAGAAGTCTCCCGTTAACAACAATGGGATTATTGACACTGAGTTCCAGAAGCCTACTCGTAAGGTCTTCGAGCTGGCCAAGAAGATGGATGTGACGGTGACCGCAGAACACTTCCGGACTCTCGACAAGATCGTCAATGAGAAAGGAATGCTCCGCGAGGACGCAATCATGCGTTCTCCATCTCCGGTTACTTCCGGCTCGAATCACACCCTGGATGGTGGTCCTCCTGCCAAACGCAGTCGTATCGAGGAGATCCCCGACGTCGAGATGGCCACCGGCCAACAGAACGATCTTGATCTTCTGTTTGGAGATAGCGAGTTCGCCCAGGCTGAACCCGTCAATTGGGATGAGGTCGTCGACTTCAACACCCTTCTGGAGGAGATGGACGCTCCTTCCGCCGAAAGGCAAGTACCCTGCCTTCTTGGGCATATGCACAATTCTGATTGTTGCTCACAGCCAGAGCGCGTAATCACCGCCGCCCCGGGTTCTGTACTTAATTCGTTGATGATTTGTTCGCATGATTTTTGTACCAATCTATTCTGTGTGCACTCCGATTTTGCTGCCTGCTCTAAGTGTAAGGGGAAACATCATCATCATCATGAATTAGGGCCTCTATGGCTTCTTGATTCAGGTGCATCTCTCCATGTGACATCGGAGATTAGTGATCTGGTCGGATATGAGAAACTCTCAGATCCTATTGTTGCTCAGACCGCTGATAAGAACACACGTGTTGCCCTTATTGGTCGAGGAACAGCCTTCATCGATCATTACATCACAAGGCATGGAGAAAAGACAATAGTGACTTCTCAGATATATCCAGTGTACCTAGTGCCAGGATTACATGGTCGTCTCATGTCTTTGGGCTCCTTACTCAAAGGAGGATCTCGCGTTTGTGGAGATGAATCGCGGATCAGCTTACATCGAGGGAAGTCCCCACTCTCGATCATGGAGTTTAGAACTCTAGGGAAGGACATTGCCTTGTACTTCCTGATGTCAAAGCCTAGCACGGCTGAGACAGTGCGATCCATGTCCACTGTTTACAAGGTGGATTATGAGATCATGCACCGGTGATTTGCACATCTGTCGAAAGACGTTTTACGTCAGGCAAAAAAGAATACCAAGGGCTTTCCAGAAGACCTAGTATTTCCCGAGGAAACCTGACCGTGTAAAGGATGCGCGCAAGGGAAAATGCACCAACGTGCCTTCCCGCCTTCTGAAAAACGAGCGGAGAATCCGTTTGATTTGATCCACTCGGATCTCAAACAATTTCCCACGGTGTCTTATCACAAGTACCGCTACTTCATGAGCTTCTTCGACGAAGCACTCTCCTATGGCTGGACAGTATGCCTTGCACAGAAATCCGATGCCAAGCAGGCTATGCGCAATTTCATTGCGATGGTCAAGAACCAGTTCAATGTCACCATCAAAAAGTGGCATATTGATAATGGGGGAGAATTCATGGGGATGGGAATGGAAGAATTTCTCGCGGAACAAGGAATTCTAGTGGAGCAGGGTGCTCCATATGCTCACCAGCAGAATGGGCATGCCGAGCGCTTCAATCGTACGATCATGGATAAGGCAGAAGCCATGCGCTTCACTGCCTGTCTTCCTAATTCTTATTGGGAATTCACTATTAAACATGCGACACGGATCTACAATATGACACCTATCAGGCGTCTAAAATGGAAAACTCCATTTGAAGCTCTTCACAAGGAAAAACCGGATGTTTCCGAACTCCGAGTCTTTGGTTGCGCTGCATATGTCTTTATCCCTGATGAGAAGCGCGCCAACAAGTTATCGCCCAAATCGGAGCTGATGACCTACTTGGGCATTCCTGATGGTGTGAAAGGATTTTTGTTCATGCGCACAAACAATTCCACGTTTGTCGCCACCAAGGCATTGTTCGACAAGGAGTTGTTCCCTCGCTGTCCTGACAGCAATCGACCACCCCACGTTCCTGTTGGAGAGGAATTTCCAGAACGTGATGACCCAGTGAATCCACAAGATCCACCACAGGTAGACGGAGAAGATTGGCTATATGGAGATAATCCTTTTCCATTTCCCATGCCATCTGATCCGGCTCCACCACCTCCCATACAGGGAAATGATGATGGTGACGACAGTCATAATCATCAGGACCCACCGCCAGAGCGTCGGGATGAACCTCAGAGGACTCGTAGAAGTAGAATTCCACGACCAAGTCGGGAAGCTTCACCAGCTCCTGAGCCTCGAAGGTCTTCACGCCAGCGGAATGTGCCTACACGTCCAGGAAACGTCTATGGGGAAAAGCGTACCCCTACGGATATAGTCCGTGACATTCAGAACAGCAGAGGATGGAAGCGGTATGTTGGTGAAGATAAGGGTAGCTCCCAATCTCAACCATCAACCGGTGCTGATGCAGGGGTTCCCGGCCCTAGCTCGCAACCAGATTCCTCAAACGCGGGTGCTTCTGATGATCTAGACGAGGATGCACGCATGGAGAAGCTATGCCGGGAAGGGGGAGTAGAGCTCATCACGGCGCTGCTGTCGAAAGCGGTCCCAAATGAGAACCTACCTGACACGTCCAAAATTCGTGATTGGACGTTCCGCGATATCAAGCGGTTGCCTTCTGAACAACAGAAAGGTTGGATTGATGCTTGCCGCGACGAGTTAGAGGCACTTTGTCAGCGCAAGGTCTATTCCCTTGTGGACCGTCCAAAAGGACGGAAGGTTATCAGATGTCGCTGGGTCTTTGACCAAAAATCTGATGGCCGAAAACGTGCCCGCCTAGTTGCCAAGGGTTTCAGTCAAGTCGAAGGTGTTGACTATGACGAGATATTCTCTCCTGTTGTCAGGTATGAGACGTTCCGGTTGGTCATGGCGCTTGCAGCGCTAAATGATTGGCATTGGTCTGGACTCGACGTCAGTAAGGCTTTTCTCTATGGAGAGCTTGACGAAGAGGTCTACATGGAACAACCCGAAGGCTTTGTGGCGAGAGGCCAAGAGCGCAAAGTCATGCGCTTACACAAGGCAATCTATGGACTCAAACAAGCTGCTTTAGCATGGTGGAAAGCGCTGACCAAGTCCACGAAAGCCATGGGCTGGATCCGACTAACATCGGATGCCGGCGTGTTCTTCTACAAGGACTCTGATGGCAGCATAGCCGTCATAATAGTCTATGTGAATGATGCACTGTTCTTCTCCAAGAACAAGAAGCTCCTTGCCTTTCTCAAGGCTGAGTTCAACAAGCGATGGGAATGCCGCAATTCTGAAGATACTCCAGAGTTCTTGCGTGTACGCCTCAGTAGAGTAGGATCTTCGATCAAGATTGATCAGATTCCTTATCTCGACAAGGTGCTAGAGCGCTTTGGGATGCAGAACGCCAAGTTTGCAGCGACCCCTCTACCGGCTGGATATGTTCCAATGCCAAACGAGGATGAAGTCGATCCAGAGCTCAGGAAGAAATTCCAATCAGTCATTGGATCTCTTCTCTTCATCATGCTAGGCACACGTCCTGATATTGCATTTGCTGTGACCAAATTGTCACAATTTGCCGCCAATCCGTCCCAAGACCACCTCCATAAAGCGCTGTATATCTGCCGCTATTTGGCTGGTACTAGGAATTATTCGCTCATTTTCAATGGTGCGACGGATAGAGGGCTCATTGCATTTAGCGATTCAGACTGGGCTGCTGATCCGATCAAGAGGAGGTCTACCACTGGTTTCTTCACGAAATTGGCAGATGGGATTATTTGCTGGCAGTCTAGACTTCAGCGCACAGTCGCGCAGTCTTCTACCGAAGCAGAGTACATGGCGATTTCAGATTGTAGTCGCCAGGTGATGTGGCTGAAGAGCGTCCTTTCGGAACTCCAGTTCAAACTCACCATCCCAGTACCCATTTGCGGTGACAATCAGGGTGCACTCTTCAGTGGCAGCAATGCCTACCGAGACCGCAGGATGAAACACATAGACATCCGCTATCACTACATTCGTGAGCGAGTCGAGGAAGAAGAGGTTGAACTGTTCTTTATTCCGGGCAGTGAGAATCCTGCAGATATGTTCACCAAGAACCTAGGACGCGTCAAGTTCGAGAAGTTCAGGTCCCAACTAGGACTTGAGTTCAACTCGTCCTGAAGGAATGGCCGATGAAGATTTCGCTTTCAAACACTATCCTGTGGTTTTCAGCGTGGGGGAGTGTTGATCAAATGATGATCTTATCGTCTGCCAGATGGATGTTGTGATACACATCTATGACTCCATCACGTGTCATCTAGAGTCATGTCGACTCGTCCTAAATAGACACAAATAGCCCCCTGTATTGTATATAAGGAGGGCTCTATTACCCTATAATACAAGTCTCTTGACTACTCCTGCATAGTGCCCACACTAAGCTCTCAACTCACACAGGTGGGTTGCTAGACGCTCTCCCCAGTGCTCAACATTATGTAGGCAACAATTGGTTTTATAAGCTTGGGTTGCTTACCACACATTTTGTTAAGAACAAAAGTTGTATAGTGGAAGGTAGAGAGCCGAAGCATTGCCAGATATCCTATTCAACATAACCCGTGGCTTACATCTCATCAAATTGGCCCATATCTCACATTCAGAAATATACTATGTTTTGAATTCATTCCATGTTTCTGAATTGTTCCAGAGTCCAGAACTCCCAAGACTTGATTCAAGCAATGTCAAAGAGTGTATCTTTCAGTTGTGTGAAGTTGGGCCCTTGTAGAAAATATATTTTGTGCAATACCCAAAGTGAATTATGTTGAAGTAGTCTCTACATAGGAACCTTACCCAACCATGGACTGTTTCGATGTTTCAAATTTTGAACAGACAAAGGACATGAATTAGCATTATATTTGACAAGAGTAGCATAGGGAGACATTATTCCAATGATTTTTGGCTGCATAAATGTAGGGAAAGTGTCAGAAGAGCAGAAAACACTGGGGTACGACCTTTATACAGGTTCTGATTGGCTAATGAGTTAATGTGTTCCGAGCTGTCACTTTACATAATATTACATATTTGGAGATGGCAGGGGCAAGTGCACCACTGTGGCGGGGGTGATGGCGGGGGTGATGGCAGGGGTTGCAGTGGGGGTGATAGCGGGGGTGATGGCGGGGGTTGTGGCGGGGGTGATGGCAGGGGTTGTGGCGGGGTGATGGCGAGGGTTGTGGCAGGGGTGCCAATAGGGGTGGGCAGAGGTTTATGCACCCCCGCAATCAACCCCGCCCAAGCCACCGCCAGGATTGGATTCACAATTTTGGGTTTTCAAGCTCAAATGTATGGTTAAAATTGAACCCAGCTATTGAAATCCCAGTGGGATGATTTGGAGCTGCTTTTTTGGTTTTATTTGTGAAAAGTCACGTGATCATCTGCCTACCAACCGGCTACAACATACAATGTATTAGGAGGACAACAGAAACCATGCTAAACAGTGCAAAAAAAAAAGTCTCCAAAAAGTCATGTGATAATGCGCCCACTGTCCGCCTGGTGTGCGGGAGGGGGCAGTAGTGACCCCGCCAACACCCCCGCCAACCCCGCCAACATTTTTGAAATCTCATGTGTTTCATCACGTGATTTTTTTTATCCCACCATCCCCTGCCCATTTGTTGCCTCACATGATTCTATTTTTTCTCCCACCCATCTGCCTGATCTACAGGATAAATCACATGATATGTATCATCCCCCCCCTCCTGACCCCTGCACATGACCCTGCCCCCTGCGCCCCCGCCGCAGGGGGGGGTACCTACTGGGTACCCATAGAGCTACGTCTATGGGTACCCAGTAGGTACCCGCGGGGTCTATTATGTAATGATGGCGGTAGCATCTGGGGTGGTCTGCGGAATCCTTGCCGAGTCAATAAGGTGCTGATTCTGTGACGTGAAGAAACATCCCTTGACATCGCCAACACAAAGCGCCCTCAAAAAACTCCACTATCCATCAATTTACAGTATCCAGGTGTCTTGGATCAACTGAGATACCTTTCCCTACCTTTCCACGTCCATGGATAAGTACCTCCTTGGTCTCACTGTCAGCAGGCAAACGCCGGTCCTGCGGGCCGACAAGTGACCTTGTTCCGGCCCGGCAACTGCAACTATAAGATAAGATCCTCCGCGGGATGCAAGCCCGCGGCGTTTGTCCCTTTCGAGTGTTTTCGATGCCAGGCCCTCTGTTTCTCGGACTAGATCTCTCTACCCAACAACTCAAGGCGGTCTTGATTTCCGAAAAGAATGAAATCGTTCACGAGTCGGCGGTCCATTTCGACAGCGATCTGCCGCAGCACGGCACGAGCAGTGGGAGAATACTGGGGCCAAGAGAAGGCGAGGTGCGTCTGTTTCGATTTCGATGTTCTATTAGTCGTATCTGAGACTACTTCCATGGCAGGTTACATCGCCCGTCGCAATGTGGCTGGACGCCTTGGAGCTGCTCATGAAGCGAATGAAGGGGGCGGGGGTTGCTTTCGGAGAGATCGCCGCTATTTCTGGAGCGGGACAGCAGCATGGATCAGTGTATTGGTCTGCCACTGCGGAGAATGCATTGAGCAAAATGGATCCCGCGAAATCTCTGTCCGAAGCACTCTCCCCGCATGCATTCTCCCTGCAGAAAGCCCCCATCTGGCAAGACTCGTCAACAGGTCGGGAATGCCGGGACTTGGAGGCAGCTCTGGGAGGTGCACAGACTTTGGCGGACCTGAGTGGCAGTCGCGCATACGAAAGGTTCACGGGACCACAGATCGCCAAGGTTTGCGGATAGTTTCTTGCACGGGTACGTCAGTGCGACTGACTTGATTCAGCTTCGCCGCGCCGATCCCGCAACTTATGCAGCGACATCGAGAATCTCTCTAGTCTCGTCCTTTATACCCTCGGTCTTTCTTGGCCTGATTGCCCCAATCGAGATCTCAGATGCCAGCGGCATGAACTTGATGGATGTGGTATCTTGTAAATGGGACGACAGGTTACTCGAATTCTGTGGCGGACCAGAACTGCGCAAAAAGCTGGGCCCTGAGCCTGTGGCTGGCGGAACCAACCTGGGGAAGATCGGTTCGTGGTGGGTTGCTCGGTGGGGATTCAATTCAGGTGCGTTCGGTTTTCATTCAGACGCTGACCTCTGAGCCCGTTCCAGAATGCATCATTGCTCCATTCACTGGAGATAATCCTGCAACAGTCGTCGCACTCTCTGCGCCAGGCGACGCTCTGCTCTCTCTGGGGACGTCGACCACTTTCCTGTTGTCCACGCCACCTGCGCAGACACCGCCTTCACGATTCACAACGTCTCATCTTTTGACGCACCCAACCTCACCTCCGACCGCTTTCGTAGTGATGCTTTGTTACCAGAACGGTGCTCTGGCGCGAGAGTCCGTGCGCGACCAACATAACGCGGGAGATTGGGCCAAATTTAACCAAGATGTGGAGAGCACCCAGCCCGGGAATGGCGGGCATCTCGGTCTCTACTTTCCGCTGCCTGAAATCATTCCCCCGGGTGTCGTCGGCAATTTTTACTACGAAGTAGATCCCGTCAAAGGAACAGCTGTCGCCGTCAAGGATTTGCCGAAGCGTGCGCATTCTCGAGCGATCCTCGAGTCCCAACTTCTGTCGATTCGATCTCGCATCGCAGCTATCCTGCCGTCCAATGCGCCTCCGCTACACAGGCTCGTCGTCGCCGGCGGTGCTTCGGGCAATCCGGTGGTCCGCCAACTTGCTGCCGACGTATTTGGCATGCGTGTGTATGTGTCGGGGACTAAAGAAGGCGCGGGGATGGGTGGAGCAATGCTCGCGCGTTGGGCTTGGTGGCGCGCCGAGAATGGAGACTCCGGAAGCTTCGAAGACATGACCGGAGGTGATGTCGGTGAGCTGAAATGCGTCGCTGAGCCCAACCCGGAAGTCTCCAAGGTGTACGATGGATTGGTCCAGGTTTATCGCATTTGTGAGGAGGATGCAGTAAAACAGACTAAAATTGGTACAGAGTAAGTTGTTATCTGGTTGGATAAACGGGTTTTTGTTGCGGGGTCTTTGGGAGTCCTGATTGGGACACAGCTGATGTGCTGTGACACTTTCGCGATTATCCGACGCACTGCGACAGAGGACCGCTCTTGAGGAGCGACAAGCGTAATGACACGAAGAGGTCTGGGCCCCACGTTCCTCTCAAAACAATATTGACCCCATAACTTACCTGCCATCGTCTTGGACAGTGACCGAACACCACTGGTTTCGTCAGAAGCTTGAGAATGGAGTCGCGTGGGTCACGTGACATAACTGTAGCCGATTGATTGCGAGCGAAGCGCTCCGTTGCGCGCTACCTCTCTCCGCTTGTCAAGAAGCCCATAGCATACATGACACTTATGTGCACCATTTGCAACCCTGAACGTCCTCTAGGCCGCTTTCCAATAAACCTAAGCGCCGTTATGTCATGGCCCTGCTTTTCCGACCGCGCGTCTCGACGGGATCCGAGGACTGTGACCGGAGAGCTCTGAGACATGGGCAAATATGCCACAGAAATTCATTCAATATCCCAGGCGGCTCGCTAATGGGCGTCTAAATTTACGCGCAACGAGGTTGATCGTCTCAAGAAGTCGTCTGAAGCAATGATGACATCCAGCTCGTGGGCGTCTTTCTTACTGGAAAGGAATTGCAATTGCTGAAGTGGAATGGACGTTGCCGGCCGCTTTCTGCGCATGCATGGTAGACATACATAGACTATCGATGCCTCGTGGCTGGTCTTTCAGGCGGCCTACATAAACCGCTCTTTCAACCGGCATTTGGAACCAGTTTCCACCCTTCTCTCATGACCTATACTCCTGTTCCTGTGTTTCCGGACTCGACTGGCAGTCATGCTGTGGACTCCAAGACCCCTGACGGATGGGCCGGGCAATCGAATGGTATCAGTGGTACGCTGTGGTTGCATCTGTCGATCTCTCCTGTTTACACTTCTCCAAACAGAAAGTGAAGATGACGATGATGACACGAAGAGTTGGACATCAGCGCATTCCGAAGTCGAGAAAGACGAGGTGCAGGTGATAGACGAGCCCCACTCGACGAGCCCGAGCGACGCGCACGCATTGGAACCGTATCCCCAGCCGTCTGAGACCAAAGTCAATATGTTCGAGCCGATGGAAGTCGACTCCGAGCCTTTGGTGAACACACAGATCCACCATGCGGAGAAGCTCGACTTAGCGTACCGCATTCCCGGTCTACACCGTGTTCTAGATCTTATTAGTGAGAGTGGAAGGTACGTGATGTGCTCCAGTGCACTTCCAGGGTCTAATTTCTACATGAATATCCCTTAGTGGTGGTCTAGGTCTGTGTTCTGTTCCATCATCGTCGAATTCACGCTGAGTCACTGATATGTTGCAGTTGACAAAATCATCATCGCGCAGGAGTCCCTCGAGCGGCTGATCAACGAACTCTCTCCGGGCGCCTACTCGTCTCTCACAAAAGTCCGTCCCTAAGACTTCTGCTTCCGCTTACTGTCTACTCACGCAAATCACACAGGTAGACTTCAAAACCTTGGATACGCTGGACGTCAAGCCGCTTGGCATCTACGGTAGCAAGGATGAGATCGTCGGCTTTCTGTTGAAACGAGGGGTCATCAAAGACGACGTGTAAGCTACAATGGTCGCGCCGTGCGGTTGCTCATTGGGTCCCTCAGTGCCTTGATTCTCAAACAGTCGGTTTCCAACGCGTCTGCTCCCTATCTCCGGTCGGGTCTTTATGTTCTCCGAGCGCCACTCGAGTCAGAGCAGATATTTCTTGTGTACTGGCCGGAACTCACGACCTGGAACGACGACGCTCTGTCGTCTGTGAAAAGGAACCGCGTGACTTTCATGCGGTATAGCGCATTCTACCTTCCGGTGATTAGCTACAGCGCTGACTCGGAGTAGATATCTCACCAAGTTGGCCGACCAAGTCGTGTGCCTGGTCTCGTCCGAGCACGCGCGCTCGATTGTGTGGAACGAGGACTCGGACGGACTGGAGACGCCCATCGGTCTCGATCTCGATCTGCAAGAAGCGTCCGATCGGATGTTCTCGTTCGAAGTCGCCAAGACAAACGAGCAGGAGGAGGACGTATCTACCCGAGAGGGCTTTGAGGTACGGTTAACGATGCATCTGATGCTGCCGACTCTGACCGCTACTTTCACAGACCATCTTGCGTGGGGTTGCCGCCGAGCCCACGTCCCATGAGAAATGCACTCTTGACAATGCAGACTTGGAACCTACACTCATCCGAGGAGAGACGTCGTTTGCGTTGCTGACAAAACGCTACGTAGAAGGTCGAGCTGAGGAACGACTCATTCGAGGCGAGAAGAACAATCCCGCGCAGTTGAAAAGGCTCTTGTGAGTGACCATCTCACTTACTCTTTCAACAGCCTTAGTCCTGATACCAATGTCCAGGGATGATGGCACGATTCGCATCGCTGATGGAGCAAACGACGAAACACTAGACATTCTGAGAGAGAACGGATTGGGTAAGCGTTATCCCGGACCATTCGAAGCCTGGAGGGCGCGCAACCGGGTCAGCAAGGACTCCTCGGATGCTGCCTCCAAAGAGGAGCTGCAGAAAGTCGAAAAGCACGTCGCAAAATCAATGTCCGAGCTCGAGATAGTTATACGCGAAGCTATCTGCGATAGGACTCTGAAAATGTTTCCGTGAGCGCTAGTCACTTCTGTCATGCTTTCAGTACTGAAACTCAAATTGCAGGACTATTCAGCGATCGGCATTGTCTCCGAATGATGGCGAGCAGCTCGAGCATCTGCGAGGTTCGCTCGCATTCTTGCCGACCATTTCTTGGATGGCTTTCTGACTCTCTTTCATAGCCCAATATCAAAATTTCCTCGCGCTTCATCCACAAGTACAAGACGAGCTCGAGAAGACTGCATCACCAGCGGACAGATCCTCCGGCCCCAAAATCAATCTTCCCAGATTCCGCACGCTCAAGGAATCCATATTGTGTGTGCGTCTCATTCTGCGAGAGCAGCAGACACTCGAAGCAGAAGACCGCAAGGACTTGATTGCACACGTGACGGATCATGGTGTTGAGTCGCTGACGTCAGCCCTGGTCAAGACAAAGCGTCAAGATGACGCGAAACCGAAGGGGTTCTGGACAAAGATTACGGCATGGTTCACCGAATCCGATTCAACGAATCCGGAAGATCGGATTCGGAAACAGTTGAAGGAATCTCTGGCCAGCACTCCGGACGCAGCGTTCCTGCAGTCGTTAAACGATGTGCTTGGAGAGATACCGGCGTTGGAAGACATGATTTCGAGAGCGATAGAGGCTGCAGTGGAAGGGCTCAATGAATCCATCGGAAAAGCACTGAAACGCACCATGGCGAGGGCACAATTTGTCCAGGAAGCCGCACTCAAAGCCCAGATTCAGCGAGACCAGGCCGTCAAACTTGAGGCTGAGCGCCGGTCTTCAAGAATGCTGTTTCTCAAGGAATACGACCAAGAGGTTGCCGATAGCCCGTATGTTTTCTCCCCCTCAACTGTATCACTGTTACTCAAACTCACCACAGTAGTGTGATGCTGATCGGAAAGATCGAGAGTCAGACATCGACCTATCCTTCTCACACGCCAAGCTTGTACAGATTATATGCTGTCCAGAAGACGGTCTCGAAACCAACGGTCGAATGCAACGTGCATTCAGTTCAATTGACGACAGAAGATCGGCACTCTATGCAGCTTGACCCAACATTCGTACCGACTCCCCGGTTCCAGCCCAGTCGGACACAGACGTTCAGTCTCGGTTTAGTTCACCGGATTGTGTACGTAGCTTCCGCTGTTGTTATGCTATCTTTATTGACCATTGTCACAGGCTGGCACAGCTCATTCAAGTGCGCGACAGCGACAAGCTCTTGTTCGTGATCGAAGATGCCGAGCATCTGTGTGTCTTCCTGGACAGTCCCTCGAACATTGGCCAGGCGATATCGCGCGGTCGTGCGGGTGCCAAAAAGCTGTTGCACCGAGACAAGATCGGGAAGGACGTTCTGCTGGCGTACAACGAGCAGAAACGGATGCTGATGATCTGCGCTGCTTCTCAGCTGAAGTTGCATCTGTACTTGTTCGACGAGATGCTTGGCGCGCTCTCCGCCTGGGGCAGCCCCGTGGATCTCAATCCTTGGTACAGTTCCGGCACCGCCATCGTCCACAGCTGCTTTGTGCTCGGATCAGAGGAGATACTGTTCATCGACACCGGGGCGCAGGCGAGGATCTTTTCTTTAGTGACGCAGCAGTTCCGCCCTGCATCGTTGACTCTGGAGCTCATTCCGACTGCGCTGCACACGTCGCCGGACGGAGCGTGCCTGATACTCGCATTCGGCAGTGGAGATGGTGTTGTGCATCGTGCATATCACTGGGACACCTTTGGGTCATCCCAAGGCATCGAACTCGGCGTCGTCGACATCCCAACTGGCCCGACTGTGCTCACGTCTTTTGTCAATCGACGCAGCGCTCATTTGGTTAGCCTCGATCCAGCAGTCTCTCGCTGTCGCTCCGTTGCATTGGACATCACGAAGAAAACGACCGAGTTTATGTTCCAGGCCACCGGCGGCAAGGCCACCTCCAGCTCCCAGACGCAAGACACAGCGCACAACTGTCTGATTGACGTGCATGCGGATGTCTGGTCCCGGTTCCCTGTCGTCGCAGCTGTGCAGAGGCAGACCATCTCGACCTCCGGCGACGCCCGGCGCTCGCGCCAACTCGTCTTCCGGACGGACCGGGATCGGGACCGGTACGCTCCCCACTTTGCCGAGCTGATCTCAGCGTTCGAACAGCGAACGAAGAAACCGACGGGCGACGCGCTGAAGAGCATCCGAGTCTCAGCAGCTGACTCACTCTCGCTGGACCCTGCGCACATCTCGCGGTTCCGGGCTGGCGAATGGCTCGTCGACCTGCTCTGTCTCATCCCCATCCAGATCGCAGTCACGCGCGAGAACCGGTTCCTCCCGCTCAAGGACGGCATCATGTCGGCGGAGCTGGAGCGTTCGTTGCTGGGCGCCGAGGTCGGGCAGATCGTGGACGCGCTGTCGTTTGGTTGGTATGAGAGTGTGTTCCAGTCGTATATGACGGCCAAGAAGGTCAAGGTCGTGTCGTCCATGGGCGAACAGAGTGTCGGCAAGTCCTTTGCGCTGAACCATCTCGTCGACTCGTCTTTTGCGGGCAGCGCGATGAGGACCACTGGTGAGTGCTGTGATGCAGTGATTGATGCGCTGATTGTTGAGCGCGATGTGCAGAGGGCGTGTGGATGTCGGTCACACCGACGGATGAGGCATTGATCGTTGCACTGGATTTCGAGGGTGTGCATAGTATCGAGCGGTCCGCGCAGGAAGACACGCTCCTAGTGCTTTTCAACACAGCCATCTCTAATCTGGTACATGCTCGCTGGCTTCTCGCCGACGCATGGTTGCTTACCCCTTTTCCAGGTCCTCTTCAGAAACAACTTTGCCATCTCGCGCAACATCACGGGGCTCTTCCAGTCGTTCCAATCGTCATCCACCGTGCTCGATCCCGCAGCGAACCCGTCGTTGTTCAAGTCGACGCTGACGATCATCATCAAGGACGTCGTCGAGTCGGACAAGACCGAGATCGTGCGCGAGTTCTCGACCAAGTTCACCAATATCGTGCGGGAGGAACAGGATGCCAATTTCATCTCGCGGCTGCATGCCGGCCAGCTGAACATCGTCCCGTGGCCCGTGATCGAGTCCAAGGGGTTCTACACGCTGTTCCCGGCGGTCAAGAAGCTGCTGGACAAGCAGACCGTGACGCACAAGACGGCGGGGGAGTTTTTGCATACGCTCAAGACGCTGATGGCGAAGCTGAAGGCCAATGACTGGGGCTCGCTCTCGCGTGAGTTGGCTGTTGGGACTGATCGGTCTCGGTGTTGATATGCTCGTCGCAGAAACGCTGGTCGCGCACCGAGCGCAGAAGCTGCTCGCGGGACTGCCCAGTGCGCTCATGTTGGGCTACCTGGAAGCGGACGAGCCCCTGAAGGTGTGTTATGAGATACTTTCGGGCTCTTTTCGTACGACTGAGTGCGGATAGAATTTTGACACCGATGAGCCGATCGAGGAGCCGGATACGTTTGCTCAGTTTTTCCTACCTAGCACCGTCGAAGACGCGACCGCGCAGTCCCAGATGCGTGAGCGTGCGCTCGCCGAGCTGCAGCGATCCTGGGCGCAGTACTCTTCGCGACACACGGCCTCTGAAGGCGAATGGGTGACTGGGCTCGCGCAGTTCCTGGAGCAGCTCACGGAAGAACGGATCAGGCGCGTCTTTGCCTGGATCTCGTCGAATCTTTCGCGTTTCCAGACGAGCCATGACAATGCGGAGCACCTGCGGCGAATGTTCGAGAGCGAGATCGTGGACATGAAAGGGGGCGTTGAGATGTGCGGCGTGCAGTGCAGTGCCTGCCAGCTGCGGTGTCTGCTCAGTCGGCGGCACGATCTGAGCGAGGGCAAGCACGACTGCCGCACTGACCACATGTGCCAACACGTCTGCGAGTTTGCGGACGAGCATCCTGGCGAAGAGAAGAATTGCGGGTTGCCTGCGGGCCACTCGGGCGGCCACATGTGTGTTTGCTTGTCACGGTATTCCGCATCAGTGCTCACTCATTGTAGATGCGCGGTCGATTTCCACTTGTGCGGTCAGCCGTGTGCGCTGCAGGACAAGTCCGGTTGTATGCAAAGTTGTATGAAGGTTGCCCATCACGCGGCTGACGAAGGTCACTTGTGCAATGCCCGGCTACATAAATGCGGCGAGGTGCGTGTCTGTGTCTGGTGCGAGCAGCTCAAGACAATTATTGATATGGCATTCACAGCCGTGTGCCCTGATGAATGTGACGGTGAAAGGGTCCAACGAACAACACTCTTGCTCACGCACGTGCGCTGTTTCGAGCGACGAGCCGCACAGTCAACACGCATGTGACTCATCAACATGCCCGCTGCCCTGCGAGCTGTGTAAACGGCTGTGTGCCAACACAGATCACCTGCACGGGCTCATCAGGGGTGCTGTGCATCTGTGCGGGCAGTCGCACAACTGCAGTGCACTCTGTCAGGCCGACGGGACGTGCGAGATTGCGACCGCGCCGCAGTCTATCGAGGCGACGTTTACCGGCAAACACGAGACGTTCCAGTACACCAAGTACTCGCAGGTCGCCAAGCGGCTGAGATGTGTGCACCCGATCCCCGCGGGCGAGCGCCAGCACGCGGGGAAGCACAGCCACAGCACGGACCCCGCGCCGTTCCATTTCTGCGAGACGCGGTGCGAGTACTGCGGGTACTTCTGCACGCTCCCGCGCAACCACCCGCAGCAGGAACACGAGACGCACCACGGGTCCATGAGCCGCAGCAGCTGGTCGATCGACGGGCCCGACGGGTCCGTGCTCGAGCTCAACGGGCACAAGTTCGGAAGCGAGGATGACGGCGCGCCGATGATGTGCAACCTCTACTGCCACGAAATGGGCAGGCACGTCCACCTCGATTACTGCCGTGCCGATGACAAGAGCACGTGCAACGATGCTCACACCCAGCATTTGTCAGCCCGGATGATGCCGAATCCGGACAAGGCCAAGGACTGGATCTCGCATTCCCTATATTGGCAGAGAAGCGGTACTAGGAGTGTCTCTGAATCGGGACACTGAAGCTGAACTATATGTGCAGGATTCAAAGATCCATATTCCCGGCCTGACCAGCTCAACTTTTCCAAGTGGTGCGTCAATCTTATCTTGTCGTTCAATCGCTAATCTAATCTGCCAGTGATGCCATGTGCCCGGATACCGAGCATGCAGCTACGGCAAACAACCCAGCCCACCCCTCGTATTGCACTCTGCCACTGTTCCATCCACCTGCAACGCAGGCCTCTGGACTGGGATACGTGTCGAACGACGGGCACGTGTTCAACTGCAAGAACCCGGCGGTCATGCAACAGGCATTCCATGTGTAAGTGATGCATTGCACAGGCTTGTATCCTGACCTAGACTCCCTCAGCATCTTTGTCATCGACCGGTCCGGTTCAATGGGCTCTACGGACCGCCGCCCGCTGCCAGGCACGCCCAGCACGGCGCTCATTCAGCAGACGGCCAACAACCGACTGGGGGCCGTCTACTCTGCCCTGCACGGATTCTGGATCTCGCGCACCACGGCACTCGGGGCATCGCAGGGCACGGCCCCGGTCCGGCGGGACGCCTACAGCGTCGTCCTGTTCGACCACGCGCCGACGGTCTGCATCGCGAACGACTTTGCGCACTCGCCGGACGAGCTGCTGCACGCGATGCTCCCCTACCACGCCGGCGGCGGCACGAACTTCACCGCGGCGATGCAGACCGCGCAGACGCTGGTCCGGGACCACTGGAGCGCCGAGCGGAGCCCGGTCGTCATCTTCCTCTCGGACGGCGAGTGTCATGTCGCGGACGAGACGGTGCAGGATGCGTGTCGCGGCGCGGTGGCGCTCGGGCGCCCGCTGTCGTTCCACTCCGTGTCGTTTGGGCGCGACGCGCAATCGGCGACCCTGCGCCGCATGGCGCAGCTGGCGCTCGAGGTACAGCGCAATGCCCCGGTAAGCAACCCGCTGATGCCGGCTGCGGCTGTCGTCGATTCGTCGTATTCGGTTGCGCTGGACACGGTCAGGCTTGCGGAGACGTTTTTGGGGTTTGCAGAGTCGTTGAGGAAGCCCAGAGGCGCTTTATTCAAATCCATCTGAGTGCGATGCGTGAATGTAACCCATAGCTGCCTTGTTTTTTCTGCAGTAGACTTTTCTCAGTTAAAACGACGTCGACACTTTGGCATGTCTTTTGATGGCCGTGTCTTGCAAATTGGTGACATCGCAGTGGGCTTTGAAGCTGGGGAGCGAGACAATCGATGTGAGATCGGGGATCATGTACTTCTTTATCTCTCATGGGTTGTATCTATATGACATCAGACTGTGGTATACATCGCCCATGCATCCCATCTTGTGTGTTAGAGACTGCATAACAGTATCTTCTTGCCTGCTGTCGAGGACCCGCGGTTCAGCCCGACCACTGGCACTCCCGGGCAACTCAAGATGTTGCTGCACCCTCACGAGGCAGCAACTGCTACATAAATATCAAATGCGCGCAGCCTGCTAGTCTGGTCTCCGCGATTGACTTGAACGCCGGAAACTCGGTGCAGGGATGAGGCCAAGCAGGCCAAAGGTGGCGGCGTAGATCGCAGAAGCTGTCGACGCGGCGTGAGAAGCTGATCAGGGTGATTGGATTGGAGGCCGGGGGCCGACACGTACTGCCCACGACGGCGCGGGGGTACCCCATGCTCGTCTGCCCCAGCGTCGCCACCATGCCCAGCCACCCGGTCACAATCGAGAACGTGAGGATCTGTGGGTGCGTGCGTCGGTGCGTGAGGGACGCGGAAGAGAAGGGCTTCCATCACGGACGCACAGGAATAACGGACGACAGCACCCCGGAGGCTCGCCAGGAACGGAACTGCCGCGCGAGGGTGATGATGGTGATGAGAACGCTGCACAGCAGAAGGTGTCTGGAGATGAGATGACGCACGTTGGGTGATTCGCCGTGAATCCACGGCGTTAGGAAGATGTACACGAACAGAACGATCGTGAGCGCCTCGAGTCCCAGGCTCGCCAACGCAGCGGTTCTGCTAGCCGATGAGCCCCCAGCAGCGACCAGAACATGCACCCGACGCACCTTCCCCATCCCCTGCTCGAGAGCGTCACTAGTAGGTGGTCTGGCGTTTCGAGATAGTACGTCAAGGCTGCACCGGGCACGAGTAGCTGAAGCTGCCGCAATACATGGTTGGGCATTGGCACAGACAGTCGCAGCGGAAGTCTAGGGCTGCAATATACAACAAGGAAGAATCAGATTACGACAACGACGCGGGTCTGGGGTCTGCTCACGGCGAAGCGTCGCGGAGTCTAGGGAAGAGAAAAGGATGGACTCGGATCGCATGATGGACTCGGAAATATCACATGTCTGCGAGTGCACCGCCACGCCTTCCAAGGTTTTCCGGACCCGCCGCCGCCGACAGCAATGACAACGCTCCCACCGCTAGCCGCGCTGTCCGATGTATCGCAGACGACGCGGGCATTAGACACGCTCTTCGAGCCGTCTGCGATCCTCCAGAAAACCCTCGCACCGGCCCTCGCGACCCGATCCCAGCCGTGGGCGTCGTATGAGGATCTCATCGATGCGTCGTTAGCCGAGCTGTCCTCCTGGGACGACGCGCTCCGCGCCCAGTTCATCGCCGGCCATCCGCGCATCGGGGAGACGCAGAACCTCTCCCATCTCAGCGCAAAGGAGCAGGCGGCCAGAGCGACGCCGCCCGAGGTCCTTGCCCGTCTTGCGCACCTCAACATGTGCTATGAGCGGAGATACCCGTCACTGCGGTATATCACGTTCGTCAATGGACGCAGTAGGGCTGAGGTGGCACATGAAATGGAGGATGCGCTGGGGATTCCACATTCACTTGATCCACATTCTCCTCCCCTCGAAGAGATCATTCCCATCACAGCAGGCGACCCTATTTGGAGGTCGGAGCTGGACCGGGCGGTATCGGACATAGGTCACATTGCGACAAGTCGGTTGACTAGCTTACGTGTAATGGAGGAGAGGTGATATCAAGGAAGTATATCAGCGGAAGAGTCAATATCAACGACATGAAGAAAGAGCGTTCGACACATAGACAACAGCTCACGGACGGGACATAAGTACAACAAGCTCACAACATAATGGAAGCCGCCAATAAAAACGAGATAACTCAGTGGGCGCATAATAACGCAATCATAGGGAGGTTCAAGAAGGGACGGGTGGAGGAGAATGTGGGTTGGTTGTGTTCGTGGGTTCCTGGCGCTGCAAAGCCGACTGTTCAACTTCAATAGCCAAGTCCTTCCGAGATACTCACTTTGACACCAACTTTCTCTCTACGATCTTTCCACTCTGGATTCCTCTCATATAGCTCTGCAAGTATGCGGTTGACCAATTGCCGATGGTCACTTTCTGGATTCATTTCACGTTTCTTCTGGGCTTCACGCGCCGCCGCTTCTCGTTCTCGCAGTTCCCGAATCTTCTCATAGCACTCTTCACGTTGACGGGCTGCCCATGCCGCGCGATCAGCCATGCGCGCACGATAAGCTTCGCTGAGCTTGCGATCTTCAAACGTGGGTGGAGCAGTCTGGGATCGCGTGGGCGGAGGCCGAAAACCACGTTCCGCATCGTACGCCTGAAATCATGCCATTAGAATGGCTCAATAGGAAGTAAAGCCGCCTACTCTTCGTTTCGCGCTGTCGCGAAGTACTTCGAACGCCTGCTGCACGCGATGAAAACGTGCCTCCGACCTTTGCTTCTCCTCGGGAGAAGCTGTCGGCTCGAGTTTATCGGGATGTGTTTCCAGAGCCTTGACCTTGTACGCACGCCGAACTGAGGCCATGTGAGCGATGAGGCATTGGGTTTGAATACCTGGACCTACTTTCTTCGGGTGAGGCTCTGCTGCTCACTCCTAGGATGTCATAGTGCGAGCGGGAGGCAGAAAAGTAGGTGCGGGAGGTCTTGGACTCCATGTGGAGGGGCCAGCTGCCGTTGTCGGGCCAGATTAGCGACTGGACGCGGTGCAATCGAGGCAAAGTTCAAGATGAACCTGTCACACGTGATCGCGCGTATCATCCGCCACGTAATACGATCAGATCGAAATTGGTCTTCGAATTCTACCAACAAGTCCTTCAGCCAGTGCTGGCTCGTGCCGCTGAAGAGCAACCTCACGATTCGTAGTCTCACATTCATGCTGTTTAGAGATGTTTATCCATCTGTGTGAAGACATCGAACTGTGAGAGGGACGAACGTAAGTATTTCACAGGCAAAGCGCATGTCATTTATGTCGGTTATAAGGTGACCGGTCCGGTCACCATCTCGGAGGTCATTTCGCCGACCCCAGATTCCTGTCAAGCTCACCTCTTATACTCTCAAACCTTGACTCTTCTTGTTTCCAGCAATGAGTGAGTCGGAGTCTGCTCAACTGCTTGACATGTCCTCACTCTCTTCACAGGTTACAAACGGATCGTCCTCGCGTCGCGGCCGGTCGCCGACATCCAGCCTGATACGTTCCGCGCCGAGACGCAGTCGCTGTCCTCGCTCGTCCCCAAGGACGACCAGATTCTGGTGCAAGTGACATGGCTGAGTCTTGACCCCGCTATGCGCGGCTACATTCGCGATGCGCGCAGCTATCTGCCTCCCGTGCAGATTGGGGAGACGATGCGCGCCCAAGGGCTGGGCGTGGTCACCAAAGTCGGCGCTTCAAGCGCGTTCAAAGTCGGAGACGTTGTCTCGGGAGCCTTTGGGTGGACGGAGTTTGCGGTCATGAAGGACAAGCAGGTCGAGAAGATAACGTGCGTGTGGCGCTTCGTCGACCCGTGAACACCGCCTGATTGCCGCGACAGGGTGCCCAAGGGCGTCCAGACTCTTGACTTCCTCAACACTCTCGGTACATCCGGTCTCACTGCGTACTTTGGCATCCGAGATATCTGTGATATCAAACCCGGGGAGAAAATGCTCGTCTCGGGTGCTGCAGGATCTGTGGGCACTCTTGCATGCCAGCTCGGAAAGCGCGCAGGCGCTGAAGTCTACGCCATTGCTGGGGCGGAAGACAAGTGCCGCTGGCTGGAAAAGGAGATCGGGGTGGTCAAAGCATTCAACTACAAGAGCCCTAGCTTCAACAAGGACCTGCGTGCGGTCGGGTTTTGGGACGTTTACTTTGACAATGTCGGAGGAGATATTCTCGACCTTGTCTTGACTCGGTTGAATAAGGTCAGTCGCCGCGTAAAAAGCGTGTACACCTCCACTCATCGGCCTTTTGCAGGGTGCTAGAATCGCGCTTTGTGGTTCGTCTTATCCATGTCTCGCGCGATGCTTTCGCTGACATTTATCTAGGCGCAATCTCACAATATAGTGTGTATTCAATTCTGTGATGTTTGCTTGAAGCCTAGAAGACCGTGATAGATGCCGTCAAGCCAAAAGGTCTGCAGAACTATCAAACACTTATTTCTATGCGGGCCAAAATCCAGGGATTCATCATGTTTGTGTGCTTCTATCTGTCCTGCATACAGTCGTTAATTTCATCCAGCTTGGATTATGTCACAGAATTCCCGGCCGCCATCGATGAACTCGCGAGAGGCCTCGCTGATGGGACAATCAAGCGCAAGTTCCATATCGTCGAGGGCCTGGAGCAGGCGCCTTTGGCACTGCCGATGCTCTTCAGCGGCGGAAACACAGGGAAATTGTGCGTACAGTCGTACTTTTTTGGGAGACTCCACTGACGTATGGAAAAGAGTGGTGAAAGTGTCAGAGGAGCCAAAGATCCAAGCCAAGCTTTGATTTAGCCCTAACACAAACGTGCTTGACTTGCCAACCATTCTCATGATCAAACGGAAATTTCCATTACGAATGTCGTGCACAAATCATCTGACCGTTGTGGCACCTAATCGATCGCCCTATCTGCTGGCACACGATCTCGCAATTCAAAAGTCCTTGGTTACACCCAGGTGGTACAGATTGTGCGATTACACTTTACTTATTGCGCATCTAGTAGCCCTCGACGTCAACAGTCTCCGAGATGTGCTCGTGGGCTAGGATGGCGAAATCAGTAAGGAGCATATTGTGGGCAATGTGGATTGCGCACCGTGCTTCTTGGCCTTCTCCTTGTCAACGAAGTCGAGACCGCGGGACTCGACCTCCTTGTCGATGAAGGCACCAGCGAAACCAGCGCTGCAACACGATGAGACGAGGGCCGATGAGAACGATGACCGTGAGTAGGTACTCACAGCAGAGCCTTGGCCTCGGCGTGCGAGGAAGGCTTGCCGTTGGCAGCACAGTGCTTCTCGTACTCGCGAGCAGCAACGAAGGAAGCAGCTCCAGCGAGCAACTCGTGGGAGATGTCGCCCTTGTGAGTAGTGGGCTCGTTGAACTAGATTGAACGCGTCAGAGACGGCGGATGATCAGGACATATGGACGAACCGCGGCCCACGCCTGGCCAGCCTTGGAGTCTTCAGAGAAAAATCCCATGATATAAGAGTTGGTTAAAAGATGTGGTTTAGTAGTGGAGGAGAGAAGAAACCTGGCAGTGGTGGAGAGTTATTTCCCCTTTTATAGAGATTGCGAGCAGGTGGCTATAATTAGCGAAGTGACGCACGCCCTTGATGGATTGATGGGTGGTGAGATCAAGGCTGTGCGCTCTTGTGCGCTCCACTGCCTCGAAAAGGGGCTCATCTGCTTGCATCACTTCTTCCACCCTGAGAACCACGGGAGATGGTCATTCTGGCTCACTTTGGCTCATTCTGGCTCATTCTGGCTCATTGCTCCTGTCAGGATCAGATTTCCGGTCCTTTCTGTCAGCGTCGGCCTCGTTTTCTGAGCGACGATTAGTCCATCCGTCCTTATTGTGGGTTGGCAAGCAACGGGCAACACGACCGGTCGTCGCTTGATTCTGTTATTCATAGGCTCAACCCTTCTCCGTTGAGAACGAGGCCCCATCGATCAGTACATGCCTGCACTGGTTGTCTCCACACTCTGATCATCTCTCTAACACTGGTCTCAAGCTCTGTGCAAATCTAAACCATAAGAACCATGAGATTTAGCAAGTGTCATAAGCCATACTTGAGATTGAGGTTTGGATTCTTTCAACGTGAGCAGTAGAACACTATCGGCCCCAGTAAACAGCGAGGTGACAGTGTGATCGATATCCACCTTCAAAAGAACAGCGAAGTAAACGATGTGCGCGATAGATTCAGGCAATAGTAATGCATGGTCAAGGCCAAATGTTCAGACGGAAAATCCCAGTGGCCAACACGCAGAACAGAGCTGGAGGAATACCTTTCGGCAACGGAGACGGGTATCAAAGGTGTCGCTATAGCTGTACAGGCAAGCGCTTGTTTCTCCGCCGTTCTAATAGGCAGCCTACTTCATCTGTTACAGTGGCCTCGAGCACTCTTGGCCAGTCAGTGTAACTTCTGAACAACTCAACCCTAACCCTTCGTTGCCCTGCGCCAAATATCAGTGTTCGTCTGTTTCCACCATGGCCTCTTCTACCAGGCCGCCAAAACAGCAACGGAAACCTGCTCCAGAGCCTGCGCGGTGTGTCATTCGCGTGAATCAAGGTCTATCTCAACTCATGAACCCCCTTGTATGCCCTCAGTGCTAGGCAACCTGCGTGGACAGGCGCTCGCGCCTCGCCGACATACTCGCCCTCCTCCACTCCCCATCCCACACAGACCCCCGCTCCTTCCTTCCCACCCCTCGCAGCCCCGACCGCTCCTCCTATTTCAATGGATCGCGTTCTCCAGTCACTTGCAGGGTTAACGGTGCGTTCCCTTCGGTTCTAAACCGTAAAATTCCTCATTTCCGCAGGGCACAACAATAACGCTGCTAACAAAGACGTCTTCACGTTTCGAAGGGGTGATTGGATCGACCAGTAGTGAGGGGGATACCACAGGAGTCACTCTACGCGACGTGAAAGATCTCACCAATCCCGGCGGACCCCTCAAGGAGTCACTGTTCATTGCCTCGACCAATATCGATACTTGGAGCTCAGGCCCGGCTGACGCGAAGGTTCCCAATGGCGATTGTACGTGTTTCTATCCGCTCGCATCGTCTGACTACTTATCTTCGCCTCACCTCGCCCGAATCAGCATTCCGGACCGATGTCGACATCACCAACCTGCAGAAGAAAGCTCTCCCGCGCGAACGCGAACTGCAGGCATGGCAGCCTGATAGCGCGACGAATCCAGCGTCCTCCTCGACACTTGGGACCTCGAGTACTGCTGGTGACAGCTTTCATGTCAATCTGACAGCGACGCGACTGATACCCACCAGATGAGGAGACGTTCGGGACTGGTGCCACTGGTAAAAACGCATGGGACCAATTCAACGCGAACGAGCGTCTGTTCGGCGTCAAGACCACCTTTGATGAAGAGGCTTACACCACCAAGCTCGATCGCAACGCACCCGATTACAAGGAGCGGGAGCGGAAAGCCCAAAAGATCGCGAACGAAATCATGGGAGTGCGTCTACCTGTTCCTCGCGGCTGAAACGCCAAGATGTTAACAAATGCCAGGCCACGAGTAACAATCCACACGTAGCTGAGGAGCGTTCCATGAATAACGTGGACGATAGCGGGGAGAATGAGGAAGACAAGTATGCCACAGTGATTCATGTTGATCTTTGGCTTACTCTGTCAATAGGTACGGCGCTGTTGTGCGGGCTCCAGGCGCATATGTTCCGCCTGGCGCCAGGCCATTGGGGAAAGTTGATGGTGTGATCCCTAGAGTGGCCGTAAACGGCCCTGACGGACTAACCAACTCGCCTTCGCCGGCTCCCTCTGGGACCTCTGGTACTCCCGCTGCTGTCACTGCTTTCAGTGACTTCGTGACCAGCGAAAAGAATCGGTTGCAACAGAAGCGCCAGGCAATGGTTAAGAGCGACATGGACAAGCGCCTTTCGGAATTGGTGAGCTTCGGCAAGAATTTCAAGGTGCGCCTAGTGTGGCTCTCCAGGTTAACTTGTACAAACTTGGTTTTATTTTTAGCTGAACAAACCCATCCCTGAGGACTTGGTCCCCATTCTTGCTAAGGACGAGGAAAAGCAGCGCGCTATCAAGGAGAAGGCGACACGCGATGCAACCTCGGCCGGTGCGCGCAACATCGGTGCTTCGTCGTCTCCAACCACAGCACCAGGCGCTCCCAGGGGCGGGCCAGCATTGGCAGCGAAAATCAGCTCGTCCAAGGTTTCTCCTCCAATTGCTGCTCCGTTGGGAGTCAAATCTGCTGCAGCAAAGCTTCCTATTGCTGCAAATGGAGTGTCCAAGCCGGCAGCTGCTGCGACACCAGTCAAGGCGCCCAAGATGGTGATTCAATCGATCCCTCCATTCCGTGGGGCCAAGACACGGCAGTCGTCTCAGCCTCAAGCTGTGCCACCAGCTAAAATTCCGAGCATGACCGCGTCCGCGACGACCTCAGCCTTGCCCCCGGCTTCCCCCAGTCCCGTCAACGCAAATGCGTTGGGCAAGCTGAGTGCGAACGCGCCCTCATTCAAGCCGAATCCCAAAGCTGGGACATTTTCCCCGGTGGTGAGTGAACATCTGTGGTGTGGCTATATGCGTGTTTATCTTTTGGTAGGGCCCGCCCTCTGCGTCTGGTTCGCCCAAGCCCAAGGCAGAGCAACCTGCCACCCCGAATGCATTCTTTGGCACCCGTGTGCTGAAGAAAACGGCGACGCACATTAAGGATGACTTTAATCCGTTCAAGCTGAACAACAAGGTGGTAGAAGCGTCTCAAATTGGTGCGTTGAATGCGTCATGCAAAGGAGGATTACACTCATGGACGCAGCTGCCATGTGGCCGTACAACGGCAAACGTTACATGCTCATGTTCCCTCAATCGCCTGCACCGCCACCTCACGCGCCGCATCCCTCTCCGCACATGCAACCCCCTGGGCCGATGCCGATGCCGCCGCAAGCCGGGTACGACGACGAGGCTGCCGCGAGGGGATACGTCTATGCGTATCCGCCGTATGGCTATCCCGGCCAGATGCTGCCGCCGGGGATGGTTCCACCCGGGCCGCCGGGCGCATACATGGGTGCGCCCTACATGCAGGCCATGCCCTACCCGCCGGGTATGCCTCCCCCCGCGATGTATGCGTCAGCTCAGATGGGCCAGATGCCTCGTACGTTGTTGCTAGCGTGTGTTGTTCTCTCCTACTGATCGATCCGATTCTGCAGCGCCACAAGCCTACATGCAGCCGCCCCCGGGTGCCTACCCCCCACCCAATGGTGCTGCCCATCGTCCATCAATGCCGCCCACGCCGATCCCCGCTCATGCGCATCCATACTATCATCAAAGCCCTCAGCGTAAGTCGTGTGACTTGAATTATCACGTGGTACATACTCACGTGACGTAGTAGCACATGCTGTGCCGTACCAAATGATGATGCAGCAGCCGACAGGACACCCGTACGACGGCTCTCAGGTTCCAATGGGCGGAGGTGGACACGCTTGATTCGTATGGGAGGATTTCTTGTCGCATTTGTTTTCGGAATCTGGCCTTCTTTTTCTGGGATTCGTGTCACTACTGTATGTTGTTACGCATTCTGGAAACAAGACCGATTTGTTGCACAAATGGCTAGATAGACATGACCTCGACCTTCTTGAGGAGACCCTTCAGTGTATTGCTCGCCCGATTGCAGTTACCCTGCAGCCATCCCTCCATCTGCTCGCGCACGGCAGCCAGCTCCGCACATACTGGCAGAGACGCATCAGCCCTGACCAGGCCCGGGTTGAGTAAAATGTCGAAGAGACCCTCCCAAAGTTCGCCTTGCCAGTATCGCTTGAAGGGTGTATCAATCGTCCGTCGGCCGTTCCTCGTTCCCACCGAATTCTCCTGGATGTACTTCCCGAAAAGCAGACAGTAGACAACGCCTGCTAGCCCAAAGTAGTCGGTCTGCCACGTCCAGGGACGTTTCTCACGCAGCTCAAAGCAGTCGCGTGCATCCGCCTCCCAGTCGCCGACGAACTGCTGGCCCGCGGGAAAGAGGCGCGTGTCAATCGTCCGCCCAAAGTCGATCAGCTTGATGCCTTTACAGCGCCATCCGTCTTCGCCCGTGGGATTGTACATACTCGACCACGCCGAGGGTCCTCCGGGAACGTCTTCCAGCCGCAGCAGGCAGTTGTCGATCTTGAGGTCGCCGTGGATGAATCCGGCGGAGTGCATTCCGTCGACGACCCGCAGCAGCTCGACCGTGAAGAACATGACCAAGAGCTCATCGAGCGTCCCGCCGGCCTGAGCCAGACTGCCCGCATTTGCCCCGTTGACGATGTTGAGAAGGGTGCCCTGGGGACAGATATCCATCGCAAGATAACTCTCGTCCCGGAACGCAAACAACGCGTGCGGCAGCACAATCGATTGCCGGAGATGAGGCTCTACGGCAGCATGCAGGCGTCGCAAGACTCGGTATTCCCAGACATTCCGCGGTCGTACGACTTTGAGCGCAACGGCGGATGACATTTCGTCGTCGTCGTCGTCTTCCTCGTCGTCTTCCTCCTCTTCGTCATCGTCTTCCTGTTTGTTGCCGAGATCCTTGGCTCGGAAGACTGCGCCGAACCCGCCTTCACCCAGCTTGTCGGTGACGCCGAAGCGATGGCCGTGAAGATTGAGCGAGTATCGTCCACCTTCAAGCACCTCCCCACTGCTCTTCCGGACGCGTTTGGTGAATTTCTGCAGTGCATCGAGCAGATTCGCGTCCTCGTGCTCCAGATCGTAAAAATACCGGTCCGGCACCGTCAGCGAAAGCAGCGCAGACATGACCGATTCCTCGAACGGGTTACATGGATTCGTCGGGCGGAACATTGAGCTCGATTTCAGGGCGTGAGCCAGTCTCGTAGACTTGTTATCCGCCTCCGTCTCCGTCTCGGCCTCGGCCGCCTCCTTCTCGTCTTCTTCTTGCAACTCTGCAGCCAGCCGCTCTGCACTGTCCAGAGCAAACTGCTCGCTCCGCCGCGTGTCGTCCTCGATCTGCCCTCGGCTGGGTGTCCCGTTGAAAACGGAGGACCTGGCCGTGTATTCGAAGGTGCGCTCTGTGATCGGCGTCATGACGTTAAACGACCCGAACCGTCCACCGAGCGGGGCCTGATATGAATCCTCGGCGCCTTCCTCGTAAACCTCCACGGCCTGTGGCGGTTCCTCCATCTCCTCATCTTCGTATTGATAGTCGTTTTCGTACTGATCTTCCTCTGGAATCTCCGTGCTTACGGGCGGTGTGTCGGCAGGTTCCTGATATGGTGTGAATGTCGTCGGTGCCGGCCGCGGAATGTCTTTGAACGGGGTGAACACAGAACTCCCTCCACCTGGCGTGAAGGCGTTCTCTGACGCGTCTGGCGGACGACTGAATACTTTGAAAGGCGTCTTATTTTCGTCCACGAACGGTGTGAACGCTGGAACGCTGTCTTGATACGACTTGGCTCGTTCGTGTGTGGGCTTCGGGGGTGAAGGTTTCCCGTGATCGTCTGTGAAAACGTCCCGCATCGGCAGTGGTGTCGGTTTCGGCTGGCTTTCTGATAGAACGGAAGCTGGCGTGAAGACCTTGAATACGCTTTTCTCTGAGGCCACCCCAGTATCTTCAGGGACAACCGTGAGCTTGCTAGAAGATAGCGGTTTGAATGCCGTTAGACGTGTGTTGCTAGCTGTGGTCGGTGTTTCTCGCAGGGTCAATACATTCCGAGGTGTGAACGACGGTGTTTTGCTCGCTTCTGGATCGACAAAGGGCATGAACTGGAGTGCATCAGCAGCCCGGATAAGCATTTGAACGGGATCAAGCACCTTGGCTGGTGTGTTCTCTTTACGATTCTGGTTCCCGTTCTCGTTCTCATCCACATACGGTCGGAAACCTGAGCTGTTTTCAGTACTCGGAAGCGCAAGCAGACAGCGCTTACTTGACTGAGGCGTTTTGGCGTGTGCGTTCTCGTTCTCGTTCGCTGGCTTTCGCATTGATGGCGGAGCCATCGGTGTGACGGGCTTCTTTACCACAGCAGCCAGTTTCGCTGTCTTCTCCGGCGAGTTGAACATCCCAAAGACATCGTCCAGCGCTTCTCGCGTGTTGATCGTGACGGTCGGCTCTGCCCCACCCATGATGCTCCGTCGTCGGCTCTTCAGTCGCGAAGTGCTCTGGCCGTCGTCGTTAAAGTTGACCTTCAACGAGGAGGATGAGGCCGCCGACGAGGCACCGGAATGAATCGGCTGCGTGGCCGATGAGAACTGGGATGGAGGTGGGGGCGGGGCCCAGCTCTTGCCGTAAAGACCCATGGACTTGGCCCGCGCTTCCTCGATACAGTACTCCTTGTCGCTCAACAGCAACGTGAGATCAAACATCTGCTTCTCGGGGCGTTTCCCAGGGGCTGGTGGGGCGAAAATGGCTGCGTATCGCTCTTTCAATGGCAGGGCGAGAAAGCTGTCGACAGAAAAGGTTGCCCGCGGTGGGACGGGGGCGGATGAAGCGGAGGAGGACGCTTCAGGTTGAGAGGGCTGGGTGGGAGTGCGATCGGAGTCCGATGATGATGGTTTGCGCGCTTTGAACTCGTTGTATCGCGTCTTCAGTCGTTCCAGGGCGCGCACATTGCGTTTGATCCCTTTCCGAAATACGCCATCCGCCTCAGCGAATCTACGACGTCGTTAGTCTCCATAGATGCGCACGGACGACGGCGCACCTCCCATCCTTCTCCAACAAAGCTGCATACTCCTCATAGAACAGCGAATAAGACACTCCAATGCTGTCTGCCATCAATGACGCGAATTTCGTGATGCCTTGGTCGCGTGGGAGGTGTCGTATCCTCAAGATCCATAGTTTCAGATATCGGAGATCGGTCTTATAGTTCGAATCGCCCTGGAACGCATCCGTCGCCTCCTCAAGTAGTTGCAAAAGCTCAGAGGCCGGATCGTTCTCGGCATAGTTCTTGACCGTCCACTTGACAAAGGCGTCGTATGTGGCAAGAGGGTCCTCGTCTTCTGTGAGGGCTCTCGACAGGCTCTTCTTGAAGTGCGCGCGTTCGGCACTGAGCCTGTCCGCGTCGGTGGTGGTCATCAAGTTCAACCGTGATCGAACAAGTAAAGACAAATAACGCGGCAAAGGGTCACGTGCTCGCGACTGCTTGGCCCGCCCAACAGCGTACACTCAGACGGGTATACTTACCTCTAATATACACAGGACGCAAAGTGCGTGCCTTCGTTTTTTAAGAATCCGTGGAGGCTTATGCCCGGCGTTGCACAAGAGTCATGTATGCCTCAGGTCTGCGCGGTTGCAGAAGTACGACTCGAGTGTGTCCATCACATGATGCGATACATATTCTTGACAGTTCCCGTTTGCAATCGAGTCGACGTTGTTTGCTCCCCGCTGCAAACGCACCCCCATCACCGGGCCGACCACCCCGCTCACACTTGTAACTACTTGTGCGGCAGTCTCACACCTACCATCTGTGTGGATCTGCCGTTGGCTTCACCTGTTTCGGGAAGCGGCTCTGAGTTTTATCATTTCAGCCGCTCAAAGGACAACAATCCCGAGGCAAAGGTGGTTACCGTCTCGCGTCATCTCGACCTCCTGGCATCACTACAAAACTAATCCCATGAGGCCCTTTTTGATAGCCTCCCCCGGGGTCTCGAATCACAGATGTATCGGGTTCTAAACGGCCCATAACACTTTGGAGGGCGGCGCGCTGGCAGATGCGTGGACGGACCTGATACAGAACAGTGACCGGTGTATGTATGGCTTCTCACTGATCAGAACCCAGCCGCTGCGACGGTGCGATACGTGATGCTCCCGCAAGGCGACTCGCCCCTTGTTTTCTAAGGATGCCGGGACAATCTTAATCGGGAGTCAAAATCTAGCATTGACATCTCACCGCCACATCTATTCCCAGTCTTGATTACAACTGTCTAGTTCTTCAGCGCTTGGGTATCTCTCATCAGGCACGATACAGGATGCTTTCGGAAACTCAATACAGATCTCTTGTCCTTGATGAAAGCCGGTGAACGTCCAGTTCACCTACCATATGTGCGACACGGCAGACCGCTTTGATCGTTATTGGTCGAGACTGTGCCTGCTGGGCACTTTTGTTTGTCCGTACGCATCCAGCTGAATGTGGATAACCAAAATGGGACTCCAGGATATAAAGGAGACATCGACATCCGTGTCCACTCACTTTCTAATGGCAGACCATAGCGAGATGGTAAGTCTGTGACTGACTTCTCGCGACGCGAGCTCGCTAATACGTCTATAGTCTCTCGTCGAAGCTATCGAGAATCGCATCCCGGACCGTGCCGCTCTGGCGGCTAAGCTTCTCATCCAGCACCGCGAAGTGATTGTCGGCGAAGTCTCTGTGCAGAATATCATGCATGGCATGCGCGGACTGGCGAGCATCTTGTGGGAGGTCTCCGAAACAAGCGCTCTCGGGGTCAAATACCACGGCAAGACCATCCAGGAGCTGTCCGAAGAGTTGCCCAAGTGGCCGGGCTCAACTGAAATGTCTCCCGAGGCTGTGACATGGTTCCTCTACACCGCACGGGTGCCCAGCGAATCTCAGCTCAAAGCCTTTGCGGCGGATATCGCTTCTCGTAAACTCTCGTCTGCAGCCGAAGCTTTCTGCGATGCGCTTCCTCGGACAATCCCTTCAGAGTCCCAGATCATCATGGTTCTAGCGTTCTTGTCAGGATCATCCCAGTTTTCTGCAGCGCTTGCCAAGGGAGTGAGGAAGGAGGATATCTGGAAGCACACGCTTGAGGATGCGCTCGACTTCATGGCCATGTTTCCTGCCATTGTCGCCCGGGTTTACACCAACATCCACGGCATCGAGCGGCAGGGGACTCTCTCTGACGCCGATCTTGCCCAGAACTTTGCTCGACAAATCGGTCGGGGAGAAGACACAGATTTCATCGAGTTCATCCGACTGTCGTGGTCTCTTTTCCAAGATCACGGAGCGAATGTCTCGGCCCATGCGATGCGTGAGTGATTGCATCGCAGAGACCTCCGCGGCTGACGGCATCCAGGTCTTGTGGGGTCTGCATGGGCCGACACTCCACTCGCCATTGCCTCTGGCTTGATCGGGGGACAGGGCCCCTCCACGCCAAGGCCATCTCAGACTCGATGAACTTCAACTTGGGCATGCTCTCTGCGTTGGGACCGGACGCATCCAAAGCCGAGATCACTGCTTACGCCCGCAAGCATCTGCTGGCAGGAAAGATTATTCCTGGGTACGGTCATGCTCTCCTCCGGGTCGTTGACCCTCGACTTGTCATCATGGAGCGTTTCCTCGACAATCATCCGTCTGCTGATCCCAAGGCTCGGCCATTCTTGCATCTGATTCGACTCGCCAGCACAGTCGTCCCAGATCTGCTCAAGGGCCGGGCTACCAACCCCCATCCGAATGCCGATGCGCTGAGCGGGAGCATTCTGTTTGCGTACGGGATGAAGGCCGACTTTCTTCTTTCTTTCTTCGCGTGCAGCCGCGTGATGGGGAGTCTTGCCCAACAGGTGTGGGATCGAGGTTCGTGCGGATGATATAGTGCCTTTCCGGACCTGATTGTGCGATAGCGCTGGGTCTTGCTATGGAACGACCGCTTAGCGTGACGATGGACGAGCTCTTGCTGAAGGTCCAAAGCCCCAAGCAAGACGTCGTGGCTCGGACCTCGCCAACCACCGCTTTAATGCTCAGCTTCACCGGCAACTATGTTTTCGTTGTGCGGAGATGGGTCAAGTTATGGCTATGGAAGACCAGGATGGTCATGGGTAGATGAACAGACTCTAGACTAGGTATTTCTTGAACCAATCCACAACTTGATGTGCCGCTTTGTCCCGTGCCTCCTTCTTCTCTGGAAGATTCAGATCCCCTCTAGTCGTGAAGCCGTGTTGAACCCCAGCATAGATCACAACTTCAGACGTGGCCTCCAGTCCCTTCTCCTTCAGGATGGCCAGTGTCGCTTTTCCTCGTTCCGCATCGTAGTTGTGATCTGTCTCAGCGATTCCAAAGCTGATGGGTTTCGTGACTCCGTCAAGCTCGGCAGGGAACTTGACCAGGGATGGATGCAAGGCCACTGTCGCTGCGAACATGCTGTTCAGAGTAATCGCATATCGCCCACCCCAGCAGTATCCTTGACGCCAACCAGTTAGAACAGACATCTGGATTTCACCATAGGACCATCACTTGCCGACGAATCCAATCTTGGCCTCGGGATAGTCCTTCTGCAGTTGCTCAGTAACGAGCGTGATGCGAGCGGTCTGAGAGGCTTGGCCGTTGCGGACGACAAAAGGGATCAGGATAGACAGCGAGAGAGGGCGGGCGATGAATCTCTGCACCAAAGACGGCGCCTCGTTGGTCGGGTCCCGCGCAGAGAGAGTCCACTGAGGAACCTCGAAGCCTACCGCATGTTGTCAAATTACGGAGTATAGCATAGCGCGGTGAAAGCCCGACCATTGAAGAGATCGGGAATGACTACCCGGAAGCCATGTGCCGCGTACTCGTCTGCGAGGAGGCGCGTGTTGTTGAACTTCCAGCCAAATACGTCGACGCCGACAACAATGATCTGTGTCGTCGATTCGCCGACAGTGTACGCGGAAAGACCGCCGATTGTCGTCTCCGTGCCCGTTGGGGTCCCCTCGTGAACAACTCCGGTGATGCACTCAGGGCAAGACATGCTAGCGAAGGTGACGGAGAGGCCGTGTGCAAACCTGGTACATCTGGGTCGCGGCTCAACTTGTGAACAGCGTAGAATGATAGACAACCGTGGCGAAAAGAACGAGCATCTGGTGGTCAGATCATCAATTATATTTAGCGTCTAGATGTGGCTCGCTCAACGGCCCTGAACAGAGACGACTATACATAATCGAAATCTCTACGTGATAGTCTCTGATGATCCAAGGGAGTGCATCCTTGCGCACCTTCTTGACAGTGGTCTCGCCCGAACCTGGTTCCGAGCCTATCAATTTCGCATGTCGACCAAGCTCAAAGTCACAACCGGATGATCTGGTCCCACTCGATGTCAGTCCATGGCTGAATCGAATATGTAATCAAATTCTTGGTTCGAATCGAGTGGTGGCTCTGATGAGGTTTATGACAGAGTGTTAACGGAGCCATGTGCTCTCAGATTGAAGTGCAATTGAAACGCACGAAGGATGGGTACTATGCCGGGAACTAACGTGATCAGCGGGGGACGGTAAACGGTGACAACCTGTCGGATAACGAGGTCGAGATGCCCGATGAATACGACTGTCGTATGGCGCGGGCGATACGGGCAACAGGACCAGGCGGTGAGATGGGTGTTGGAGGGGGATGCGATAGGCTCTAGCGGCGAGATTGGTAACGAGCCACGGAAACAAGTTTCTCCCGAACTCAAACGCCGTGCAGAGCAGCCCAGAGACCTATCCATCGGTAGAACAACAGTCTGGCCACGTCTTACTCCATGGAGAGCGCAATGTTATCAACGTAGCAATCGTTGGAAGCGACTACTGTTCAGAGACGACATATGCCCGATGAATCTTTGGGTGGCTTTTGGATAATCAGAACACTGAAACAGAGTAGAGACACTCAGAATGAGACCATCCGTGAACATCGTGACAGAGGCACAAGCGCCTTCTTCGGTCTTGATGTACTGTGTGCGGTTAAGATAAGAAGTAAGACAGGGAGTGTCTGGAGGCATTGGCCGATGAAGAATGTAAGGATAAAGTCCCCGCATCACTTCCGTCTAGGACATCCTGAGCATCCAATACCTCCTCGTATGAATGCCACACAGCAGAAACACCAAATTCACGTAGTGAAGGAAACTGACACGATCGAGCCGACACAGGAGAAAATGGACACTGCATCAAGAGAACAACAATGACATAGTGGACATGAGAATGCGTACTAAAACAGCATAGATCTGAATGAGGCGCTGAGGAATCGGGATTGCGCTACCGAAAGAGTGGCTATTGAACTGACAGAAGTCGCCCGCGATCCGGGCCAGAGGTCTATAGAGGGTGGGTCCGAAAACCTCCAAGATCCGAACCTGATATTTGAGGCTGGTGAGCGAGCATAGGCCAGAGGATAGAAGTGGACAGACAAGCTCCCGGTGGCGGAACACCTCGCAAATCAGTTCGTGAACACCGATCACTCCATTCAGCCGCCACTATCTCCCCGACTAGACTGTTCGTGTAGCGGAGATTGTAGAGACAAGCCATTCCAATGGTCAAGGACTGAGATCGGAAATCAAGATGGTCGGCTTGGATGTGCTTGGCCGTGCACGTGATCGTTCCAGTTATACCGGCAGTATCGTGATACATCTCGGTGACCAAACATTGGACGAATAGGATTTAGTATCTCGGTGATACTTACTGTCAGATCTCAGCGGACCGGCATCTCCATCGTTCTCAAGATTTATTTCGAACACTGTCAGATGCATGCGACACCATCTTTGGCTCCGACCTCGGGCCCAGACTTTTCTTGGACTGGGGGACAACCCACCTGAGGATCCCTTGCGCGTCGGACTCCCCTACACCAGTTGACTCTCTCTACTTGTGATGGACACCGAACGCGCTGAGAAGACTCAAGGCGTCTCCAACTCGGCCACCACTCTGCCCTTGACGCGTGCCGCGGAAAAGGATGGCGATCAAGCTGTGCCGGACCAGGCGACTTTCGAGTCTCCCTACGACTGGCCGAAGCGCAGGAAATGGGTCAACGTCTGTCTCATCTCCTTCCAGGGCACGCTCTCCCCAGTGTGCTCGACCATACTCGCGGTCGGCGCCCACCAGGTCGATTCGGATTTCGACGTCACGTCCTTGGCGCTTTCCGCGGTGCCAGTAGCGGTGTTTGTTCTCGGACTTGGCCTGGGCCCGCTGTACCTCGCGCCACTGAGCGATGTACGGGAGGAGAAACGTGTACATCATCTCGTTTGGCTTGTTCTCGCTCTTCAATGTCGGGTGTGCGCTGGTCAAAACGGAGAGTGGTTGATTGTTCTGCGGCTCCTGGCAGGATTGGCGGGCAGGTGGGCTTGATGTACCCGTGTCCTGTTGCCTGACTGACCTGGCCGAAGCGCAGGACCCGTCTTTGGGCGGAGGATCTATTGGAGACATGTTCAAGCGTGAAGAAAGAGGCGGTGCCCAAGCTATCTACGGGTTCGGACCCACCTTGGGCCTGCGATAGGCGGCGTCATCGGCTATATTGCTCAGAACGCTGGCTGGAGGTGGATGATGTGGACTATTGCCATCTCGTAAGTCTAATCTCTGTCGGCTGAATCTAAACCGACTGTCTCGACGCAGTTCTGGATTCACGACCTTGATATCTGTTTTCTTCCTTCGCGAAACGTATGGCCCTTATCTTGCCGCTCGAGCTCAGGGCAAGAGATCTGCGGCTGCCACCGTCGGATTCGCGAAAGGCATCACCAGGCCAGTGCGGATGTTCTTCACGGCACCCATCGTCACAGCAATGAGCCTCTACATGGCACTCATCTACGGCATCCTCTATCTGCATTTCGTCACGATTCCCCTCCTCTTCGGCCCCACTCCCCACTTTGGGCTCTTCACCTACGCTTGGCAACACGGGAATGAGGGGCTGGCATATCTTGGAGCTGGTATGTTTCTCCGCTTGCATGCCCGCTGTCCCGGCTGCCGAATCAGGTGTGGGATGCTTACTGTCGCGCTGTTCTGTTTGTTCACGCTCAACCGCTCGTACCGTGCGTTGTCTCGAAAGTACGGAGAACACAAACCAGAGTTCCGCATGTTGTTTATGCAGGTGCGTTCTGATTGGCACACATAGCTCTACTGCGCGCTCATGTCAACCAGATCGGCATGGTCTTTGTGCCCATCGGGCTGTTCATTTTCGGTTGGACTGCCCAGAATCAGACTCACTGGGCCCTTCCAATGCTTGGCGCCGCCATCTTCGCTTTCGGCATGCTTATAGCATACGTGCGACATCTTGGGGTGTTTCTATATCCTTACTCACACACACGCGCAGATCTGCGTGCAAACGTATCTCGTCGACTCGTTCCCTGAATATGCCGCTTCCGCTTTGGCAGCCGCGATTATTTTACGCAGTTGTTTTCCGGCGCCATTTCAGCATAGTCGGTGCGGAATTGTACGAGAACCTGGGCTACGGCTGGTGCGCTCTATTTCAGATCCGCCGAGATTGTTCCTGCTGATTCTATAACGACAGGGGGACCAGCCTTTTGGCCTTCGTCTCAGTTGCGACATTGCCGATACCGGCACTGTTTTGGAGATTCGGACCAGGACTCAGGGCAAAGGGTTTTGTTGGTTGAACGCTTGAATCAGTGATCGGACGTCTCACCAGATTAGAATACTGCATGAGTTTGAATCGTCCACAATATGACAGATCCAGGATCGGGAGATTCACGATGCCAAACAAGGACTGACATCATATCTGTACCCAAGACCATCCACATCACCCGTGGACATCAATGCTGTCCACCGCCGAACGGGGATTGAAAAGGAGGGGAGGGACAGACGTAATTCTGCATTGGATCTCCTCGCGCAATGACCGAAGCCATACCACTGACGCATCGCGACCTCCCTACGATAGTCTGATTCAGGACATCGCACACTACGTCTACGAGTTTGAAGTCACCTCCCCCACGACCCTGCGCGCCGCCCGAATCGCGC